ATGTTGGTGTTGCCCTGTTGGGCTTGGACATTGACTCACGATTCTTCTGTATCATTCTCAAATGGATGGTTACTCGGTTCCATTGTGCTATCTGCACTTGCTTTGACTACTTGGACTTCAGTGTGATTTTGCAATCTGGATTTCTGTGCCTCATCCATATTCATGTTCCTTGCACCAGTCTGAACGTTCGAAATTTATCTCATTGGTAATTTCGCACTTCAGGGGAATTTGGGAGACCTACTGAACTTGCAAACGAGTATTTTTTTCTTTTCTCAAATTTTCTTGCAAAGTTCAAACTTTTGTTTTTTGATTAGTGGCTGCTTATCTGGGCGATTTTTCCCACCCACCCTCCCCACCTATTGTGTTGCCCCCTCTGGTCTTATCTTCTCTACCGATCTCTGGGTACCCCCTGTGGCGGCAATGGTAAGTTGCCATGTCAGCAGACCATGTCAGCAGGCCATGTCAGCAGACCACGTCAGCAGGCCACGTCAACAGAAGCCAGTGCCACGTCAGCAGGCCCCAGCCTGGTCTATGCTCACGCGCTCGCAAACAGCCGTCATGCACCAGATGTCCGGGGAAACGAACGAGGCCTATCAGGCCCGGATGCTGCTTCTGATTGCAGAAGCAAAGCAACGGTCGGATGCAGTAGCAGCCGCAGGAAAGAAGAAGGTGGAGGACGCCGAGAAGGCACGTCTGTTGGCAATCGAACAGCAGCGCCAGCAAGACGAGGAAGCAGCAAAGGCTGCCGATGAAGAACGAATTCAACGACACGAGAAGATATTCAACGGAGAGCGAGCTTTGCCCAAAATGGCAGCGGACTGGCGGGAGAATGGCAAGATGGAGGAGAGTGAAAACAAGATCGCTCTACTCCTCTCCCATCTCACGGACCTCCTGGCCACGTGCATTGCACAGCAGGAGGACATCCACAACCTCGACGACGCGGTTCAGACGCACAATCAGGTGTTTGACCAAGTCAACAGCCACCTCCAGCAGCTGGAACAAACCGTGGCCGCCCCCGTTGCCAGCTCCTCCAACACCTCCGATCGCCTCGAGGCTTTGGAGATTGACGTCGGATCCCTCAAGGACGGCGTGCAGTTACGGCAAGCCACAATGCCACAGTTGGAGCAGCGGATTTTGTACTACCGCCACCCACTCGAGATCGGAACCGCGCGAGACAACTCCAAAGTTCGATGATCAGGAGATCTTTTGCGACTCGACGAAGACGGACCCGATTCCATGGTTCCGCAAGTTTGAGCTCAAGTTGCAGCTACAGCACGTCAGCGAGCACAAGCATCACGCGTACTTGTACTCCCGGTCGGGGGGCGCGTGCCAAGCATGGTTGGACAATCTCTTGTCCAAGTATGGGGTGGTAGCTGCCGACTTGCACACCAAGATCAGCTGGGATGATCTAAAGGCGGCGTGGCATAAGCGGTTCCAAGTAGAGCCGCCGAAGATCAAGGCAATAAACAAGCTGATGACCTTCGAACAAGGCACGTTGCCGAGTGTTGACTGGATTGCCAAGTACCAACGCTTGACATCCGTCCCGGACATTCAAATGGGCTTCAAAGTCGTCAAACACTACTTCATCTCGAGGCCGTGTCCGGCCTTGGGCAACGCCTTGACTCACATCGAGGACACCCTGACGACAAGGGCGGAGCTCTTCGACAAGGTCGCGCAGATCATTGTCATGAGCAAGGAGGCCAAGAACCTCCACCATTCGTCTGCGGCAAGCCTGCGCAAAGATCAGCATCGACCGAAAGTGGTCGTGGTCGCGGCGGCAACGCCAACCGACCAAATTAGTGAGGCCGTTTCTGCCAATGAAGGGGACATGGTCCCACTATGGTCTCTTTGAGCAGGCGTACAAAGCACGCACGAGATTTCGCTATTGTCTGTGGTGTAACAGCGATCTCCACGACACAATGGGCTGCCCATCGAAAGGCAAAGGCAAATCGGGAAACTAAGCACCGTCGGGAGTGACTAGACGACACTCTCGACCAGTCGCTTCGTGGGTGACCGCCCTTCGTTCCAAGGCACATGCAGAAGTCGATAGTCCTCCTCTTCTATATTCTTATGAGGACTATGCTGCCCGGCTCGTTCCTACGCTGGGTACTCATGCTCAAGGACAAGACTTGTGTGCGACATCTTCTCTGTCCGGCAGCGGCGACTTATCGTTTTCAAGTGGTTCTTCACGAGATTCGGCGCGCGAGTTCAACATAGAGCTATTGGACCCGCTCACGTCCGAGGATTTCGCATGGCTTCCTCTTCCGACCAATAGCCGCTTGTCGGGACCGCAATGCGCAACATTATGCGCTCATCTTCACACGTATCTATCCTTCTATGCACCACCAACTTCACCGACGGATGACGAAGCTGTGGTGGGGGACATCCTTGCATATGTTACCAAGGTGGCCTGCGAGTTTCACAAGCATAGATACGATGACAACAACGCACCGCTCCTCTATGTCCGCATCCAAGTTGGGCAAGCGTCCTGCAACGCTTTGCTGGATAGCGGAGCGTCTCACAATTTCATGAGCCAAGCCTTTATGCAAAGGGTTGGCCTTGGCACACAAGTTCGGAGGAAGGCAAACCCGACGGCAATCAAGTTGGCGAACAGAAGGACGCAGCAACTTATCGACCGCTACATCGAGGCCATACCGGTGTATTTCGCACCTCATGCATGCAAACCAGTGACGTTCGACATTTTGGACACGGACTTCGACATTATTTTGGGAATGCCTTGGCTTGCAAGTGCGGATTACATGGTCAACTTCCACCGGCAGACTTTTACCGTTCAGGACGCTTTCAACGTCGAAGTGTCGTGTACTTTTCCTCTTCCGCACCCTTCGATCCGATGCCAAGTGGTGACGGCCAAATCATTCCGGGTTACTTGCGCTTACGAGCAGCCCGACGAGATAGGCCTATGTTTCCTACCGACCGTCACGGTAGCCGACTCTTCACCCACGGACTCGTCTTCGGGCCCCGGTGTGGTGCAGTTGCTTCACGAGTTCACCGACATTGTGCCGTATCGGCCAATCTCTTACAAGATCATTCTTGCGGCCGGTGTCGTGCCGTCAAAAGGTTGCATTTACCGCATGAGCAAGGAGGAGCTTGCGGTCCTCCGCGCGCAACTCGATGACTTGATGGAAAAGGGCTGGATCCGCCCTAGTAGCTCTCATATGGAGCGCCAGTTCTCTTCGTACGGAAGAAGAACAAGGATCTACGATTGTGCATCGACTTCGTGAGCGTTTTTGGTGGCCCGGCCTTCTCGGCGACGTCACACGCTATTATGAGTCACGCGAGGTTTGCCGACGCTGCAAATCCCGCAACCATCGTCCGTACGGCGAGTTGCGACCATTACCGATCCCCTTGCGCCGGAGGGAAGCGATTACCATGAACATTACCGGGTTGTTCCCCAAGCACAAGATTCGTGTGGATGGGATTCTTACGGTGGTCGACCGACTCACCAAGTTCGCTATGTTTTTGCCTTGCCGCTATCATGCCAAGGCACCGGAATTGGTCGAGGTTCTTTACGCCGGTTGGATTCGAACCAAGGGTGACCCCAAGGAAATCGTCTGCGACCACGACACTCGGTTCATGTTCGATTTTTGGTTGGCGCTCATCAAATGATTGGGCTCATCTCTCAAGCCAAGATCGGCTCGCCTACTTGGTACACTTCGCGTACTGCACTCACAAAGCTTACCGTTGGTTGACCCATGCGGAACTCCAAGCAACAGCTCCAGATGTTCTCGCACGCTACGAACGCAAGATGCAAGGCAAGCCGGTATCTTCGGCTCCACGTCGCACCCGCGTCCATGTTCCACCTTCAGATCGGCAGCTTCGCCCTCAACCCGGCTTGACTTCATAAGGAGAGGGGGTGTTACATGCTGCGCCTGCAACAGGCTGCACAGGCCATTTTCATGCCCCTGTGGTTTTCAGCCCGGAAGCCTGAAAACAAGGGCCTACAGGCCCTGTGTCGTTTCAGCCTGAAAGCCTGACAACAAGGGGCTACAGGCCCTGTGTCGTTTCAGCCTAAAACAGGGCCTTTCCGGCCCTGAGTCTTTTCAGCCTGAAACTGAGGGCCATTTTCAGGCCCTCATAAGATCGACCTGCCCTGAAACTCAGGCACCGGACCAGGGTTTTAGCTCAGGCCATTTTTGACCTATTTTCAAGACAACCTTTGTTTGAGCTTCAACCCCAGGGTCTGGCACGTTTTGGCATTGGCAAGAGCAGCCTCCTGGACAGGCCAGCACTATNGAGCTTCAACCCCAGGGTCTGGCACGTTTTGGCATTGGCAAGAGCAGCCTCCTGGACAGGCCAGCACTATATAAGACTGGCCCGCCCTGCAGGCTGCAGGTAGTTCCTAGGTACTTCCCAGGCACTTCACGTGCAGTTCAGGAGGCAGGAGGTAGTCTTCAGGATTCGGCAGCAGCACTCTGGAGGAGCGCTGCAGGAGTAGTAGTAGCGCTAGCAGTAGTGTGGCATACTCCGTACCACACGGGCCCAGCAGAGCCCGACCTGGTAGACTAAGGGTCCGTAGGAGTAAAGCCTGTTTCGTTTCAGCCTAAAAGCCTGAAACAAGGGCCTACAGGCCCTGTGTCGTTTCGGCCTCCAGCCTGAAAACGACGGGCCATTTTCAGGCCCTTGCAAGATCGACCTACCCTGAAACTCAGGCACCAGACCAGGGTTTTAGCTCAGGCCCGTATGGCCTATTTTGTGGAGCATCAACCCCAAGGTCTGGCACGTGGTGGCATAGGCACGAGCAGCCTCCCGGACGGGCCAGCACTATATAAGGCTGACCCGCCCTGTAGGCTGCAGGCAGTTCCCAGGCACTTCACGTGCAGAGGGCAGGAGGTAGTCTTCAGGACTCAGCAGTGGCACTCTGGAGGTGTAGTAGCGGTAGCAGGAGTCTTCAGCGCTGGGCGCTAGTAGAGAGAAAGAGGGATGGTTGGCGGAGGCCAGGGAGACTCACCTGCAGCGCCATAGCTCCAGCTTCGTCTTCGATGTACCAGCAGCCAGGCGCCACCTTTACAGGTTAGTATCGGAGAGAGAGAGAGAGAGAGAGAGAGAGAGAGAGAGAGAGAGAGAGAGAGAGAGAGTTCTTCTTCTTCCTCCTCTAAGTCCACCATCTCTTCCTCACCCTCTCGCCCCTGACTTCTCAGTATCTACCGGCTACGAGAGAGAGAGAGAGAGAGAGATGTGCGACATTGGGGTTTAGACTCAACATCGGGATTCAGACCTTTGGCAAGGGATTATTTGGGACTGTATCGATGACTTGGTGTTGACGACATTTCCATCTTCCCCCTCCCCTTCGTCTCATCCCCCTCTTCTTCGTCTGTGCATGATCCGGGACTGACGCATTCTTCCTGTGCGAGCGTCGGCCCCCTTCACACCATGGAATGATGATGATGCATGTTTGGTCTGCATGGCAGCTTGATTGATCGGATCATTGGTATTCAAGCCTTCCGTTGTGCTATCTTGTATCTGGCGGGAAAGGTCGGTTCTTGGTCTGGTCTGCACCTTTACGGTATGCGACAAGTAGTCTTCAGCGCTGGGCGCTAGTAGCGTTAGCAGTAGTCTTCAGCGCTGGGCGCTAGTAGGAGCTAGAGTAGTACTGGAGAGAGAGGGAGATTGGGCGGAGGCCAGGGAGACTACCTGCAGCGCCATAGCTCCAGCTTCATCTTCGAGGTACCTGCAGCACAGCGCCAACTTCACAGGTTAGTACCTGGCAGAGAGAGAGAGAGAGAGTTCTTCTTATTCCTCTTCTCAGTCCACCATCTCCCTCTCACCCTCTCGCTATCTGACTTCACTGCATCAGCAGACTACGAGAGAGAGAGAGAGCTTGGTGACATTTGGATCCAGACTTGACATTGGGCTTCAGACATTTTGACGAGGGATTATTTGGGACGTGTAACGAAGACTTGGTGTTGACGACTTTCCCATCTCCCCCCTCCTCTTCTTCGTCTGTTTCCCTCCTCTTCATCTGTGCATTCACACCTTGTGATGAAGATGATGTATGTTTAGTCTGTATTGCAACATTGATTGGGCTCGTCATTGGTATTCTAGCATTCTGCTGCGCTGTCTTGTACTACGTGAAAGAGTTCAGTCCCGGTCAGGTCAGGACTTGTATTTAAGTCTCCCACTGCGCTATAACGCACCATTCTTGTATGTATCAGAATGTACACTGCTTGTTGAGATTCTACTTGCACTGCATTGTCCATTCAGTCCTTTTTATCACATTGCGGATCCTTGGTTATGTATGTGCATCGCCCGACTGGGCATGTAACACCAGATAACTGGCATCAGCAGGACAAACATCCAACTTATCTCGCAGCTGAACCGAATGAAATGAGAGCGGCCCTTACATGTGTCTCCCAACTCCGATTAAACTAGCTTCTGTAGCAATAATCTTCCAGCCACAAACAGAGTCTGGCACAGTCGTGCTTTTCTTTTGTAGACATGCACACGGAGTCTGGGACAGTCATGCTTTTTTTTTGGTGGCACAGTCATGCTTTTCTTTTGTGGACACGCACATGGAGTCTGGGACAGTCATGCTTTTTTTTTAGGGTGGAATTCCGTATAGCGAATATGACAACACACACGCACACTCGCACACACACACACACACACACACGCACATGCACATGCGCGCGCGCACACACACACACACACACACACACCAGACTGTAATCTGCAAAGCAAGCGCATGGGTAAAGGTAGACTCCAACGTACCAAAGACAAGGCCGTAGGCATACCACACATAAGGGTATTTTTCAAAATGTGTGCTTGCTCTTTGAAAACGCTCTCTCATGCCTGCCATTGTCCAATCACCACCTCTATTCCATGTGCGCACCCATGGACTTGAACCGCTGACCTCCTCATTCTGTCGATCATAGGAGATATCGTCCTCTTTCCCCTGTGATGGATGAGAGTCTGGGCTTCTCATCATTTACCTACTGCCAATAAACCTGTACACAGAGAAACACATTCAGGAAGGAAGAAGCAGGAGAGCTCTCTCCGTCAAAAAGACAAATACGTCCTTTGGGACATCCATTAGAATTGGAACGATGCAGAGAGAGAAGATTAGCATGGCCCCTGCGCAAGGAAAAATAAAAATAAAAATAAAATAAAAATCCGACCAACTGGCTTAGCTCAGTCGTGTACACCCATCATCTGTTGAAAAGCAGACTTGAGTGAGTCCACAGATTTTATTTTATTTTTAAATAAACAGTATTAAACACACGAATCCGACAGACTTACATCTTCTCTACAATCCCCACAACCATCTTCCCACTGAACAGCTCCCATCCCAAAGTCATTATTGACTGTACCTAGACTGAACGTCGACCAAATCCAGCTATAACGACTGTGCATTCTACTGGAACAAAGAAGACGGCACTACCCATCGCACCTCCTCCCCACCACTGAACAAAGAAGACCGCAACCTAGATTCCAACTCAGGTCTGTATTTCAACAGAGTATCCATACCTCTACGATAAAATTTGCTGCTGAAAAATCCTGCTAATGAAGGTATTCCTGCCAATGAAAACACTCAATGTCCTGGCACGTACGATTTTGGACGTCGCTGTATGAGGGGAGACGACATGCAATCCTTCCTTTCCTCCTTCCTTGCCTCTTTCTCTATCCACCCTATCAAATTCACTTTCACCAACTACAGATTGCTGATCTACTGCCCCTGCCCTCCCCCCCCCAACCCCCACCCCACCCCACCCCGCCCTCTCAGAGAAAAAAACAGGGGAAAGACAAGCGACCAGCTTTGCAGATCCTTCAGTATCAAACCGTTACTGCAACATCAT